CGAACGGCGTTGGCGGAGCCACCCTCGTCGCGCGCCGCGCTGCTTCAGCCCCGGACAGGGCAGCGCTTCAGGCGGCGGTTGCGTGTTGACGGCGCAGGTAAGCCGGGGCGGCGGCCCCGGGCTCGGCGGCGGCGCTGCTCGTCCCCTCCCACGACTGGGGGGAGTGTGGGGCGGTGCTGAGGCTGGTGTCATCGATCAGGCGCCCGGCCCCCAGATCTGGCAGTGAAGGCACACTGATGTGCATGTTGGGGTGCCTCGGGTCCCCTCCCTTGGCCGGGGGAGCTGTGGTGGCGGCGGCGAGCTGCAGCTTTGGATGGCTGCGCAGCGGCGCCATGTTGGTGGTGCTCTGCCTGGCAGGCGGGCTAGGGGTGGTTAAGGTGGCTGGGGATGGCTGGTGCTCGTATCCGTGGTGGTGAGTGCTGGGAAGAACAGCGACGCGGTGGGCATGCCATGGTCTCTGATCTGGCCGGCTTGCTGGTGGTGACTACTGTGGTGCGATTGCAACCCTTCCGGTTGCACGGTTGGCATGCTTGAGCAACTCCAGTGGTTCTTCGATCTGGGTTGGGAGAAATCCCTGCTTCGAATGAGGCTGACAACGGCGACCCCCGCGAGCGTCGTTCCTTTCCTGAAGGCGTTGTTTTGGTCCAGATCGGGCTCCCTTCCTCGAGCTCGGGGAAACCCTCGGTCCGGCCTCCGGACCAGGCGGCGGCGGCATCATGGCATCGTTCCCTTCTTGAAGGCGTCGTCTTGTTGCTCAAGGAGTCTCAACGTTGTGGCTTGAGTCATGGTCAGCTGATGATCTTGACGTGGGCCTCCTAGGCGCAATGTACGCCATCGCCGGCGCTATCTCGACGGTACCTTCCCTATGTCTGCCCTGGCCCTGCCGTTCACTTGCTGACTTCCTCTTGGCACAATGGGTGGTATGTTGGTTTGTGTTGGCCTTGGGTGTCTTGTTGTAGAGGTTTCGACGTTGGTTGTGGCGTGGCTTGATTGCTCTGAGGCTCGCCTAATCACCATCGGCATGAGGTTGGACTAGGGAAGCATGTATCATAGTAGGCAGGGTGGGTGGGTGTGGCGGCTAATTTTCATGATTTGCGTTGTGATGGCCGAAAGGCCTTGTATCCGGCTTCTTTGTCGCTCCTTCTTTAATGCGATGATACGCATGCTTGTGTGTATTCGAAGAAAAAAAGATTAATTCATAGTCAGTATTACAGAGTGCAAACTTCCAATGATAGGGAGTACCTTGATGTAAGGGGCAAAAATGTAATTGTACATTGACGCTCATAGTCTCTTTCCAGTTTGGTGGATTTTATTTTAACTCTGATCGATATTGGATGATACATCTAAAGTCCTTTCCACCAGTCCCAATTTCACTTTAAAATCAACTTTCCATCTAGTGATTAAATGTGGTCACTTCACTAAGAGTAAAATGCATCATAAGTCCTAAAACTATTGGAGGTGTGTCAATTTAGTCCAATAACTTCGAAACTGCAGTTTTAGGTCCTAAAACTATTGGACGTGTGCCAGTTTAGTCCTATAACTTTGAAACTGCAGTTTTGGGTCCCGAAACTATGAAAGTTTGTTCATCTCAGGTCCTAAGCTTGCATGTCCAGCATTGACCCGCCACCGTGTCACTTGGAGATGCTTGAATTGTTGCCATGTTGACCCAATGGACCCACCAGGTTAACTTCCGCGCCGTCCCGCAGCAGTGACTATTTCCCACCTGTGGCCATGCTCGTGCCCGAACAACAACATGCACGACCAGCTCTACGGCAAGGGTATCAGGGCAAGGACAATGTCATGAGAGAGAGGGGTGGGGGGTGGGGATGGCATCCTCCATCCCGATTGGCTCGGTGTCTCTCCGACGGCCGCGCCCAGGGAGAGGGATGTTGTTCTCCATGCCGACTGGCTCGGGGTCTCCCCGGCGGCCACACCAAAACCTCTTAGCGAGGTTGCCTTGTAGCTCATGGGCACGCAGGTGGAGGGCGTGCAGGTTGCAACACACTGTGACGTTGAACCGTATGGACCACTTTTGGGGAAGTAAACACATATAAAGTGCTCTTTTGAAAGAAAAAAATGCACCATAGATGCTGGCCATGCAAGCTTAGGACCTGAGATGAACAAACTTGCATAGTTTGGGACCCAAAACTGTAGTTTCGAAGTTATAGGACTAAACTGACAGACCTCCAATAGTTTTGGGACCAAAAACTGCAGTTTCGAAGTTATAGGACTAAACTGACACACCTCCAATAGTTTTAGGACCCAAAGCTGCAGTTTCGAAGTTATAGGACTAAAGGACACATCACCAATAGTTTTAGGACTTACGATGCATTTTATTCCTTTACTAAATATTTCTGAAGATGACCTCAAACAATCTGTGGCAGATAGGCAGGGCACTATTGCCATTTTATTCCTTTACTAAATATTTCTGGAGGTCAGACTGGAGAGCCTTGCCGCGAGCCGCCGGGCTCGTACCACAGCCAATTTAGAGGTTTGTGGAGAAGAAATCGGCTGAGGCTCCCCGTGAATTAAGACCTGCAGGACATTGATGTAACCCACCCAGCAAATTGAAAACTGTGGCAGCAGGCACAAATGCGCAGTCAAGGAGGAGGCTGGTGGAGTTTGTCGCATAACAAAAGGCATGATGGAGATGATTGGAGAGGGACGGCAGGGCAAGTGCATGGGGCAGAACAGGATAGCGGCATGGACCATGGGACAGTTTAAATCAGTACAACAAGATTAGAATTAAAAAAAGATAACTGAGTCCTTAAAATTCCCTGACAGCAGCAACTGTTGCAAATATAAAATCAGTACAACAAGATTAGGATAGCCCTGTTTCCTTGATGCAGCAACTGAGTAATTAAAATTCCCTTTATCGAAATAAGTAAACGTGAGGCAGTTGAAAAAATGAAGTGGTCATGCACTTTGAAGAAACGTGCACTCAACAAAGAACACAACAGAAGAATGTGTACTCCAATCCAAGGAATGCATAAAAGTTTTCCTTTTGAAACAACACTAGAGCATATATAATCTAGAGTCTGACAATATGTTTCAAATGAAAAAGATAGCAGCAATTCACGCTTCAAACTTCATTCATAATATTTGCAACATAAACAGCCATTGAGTGAACATAGCCTTGTACTGTACCTTTGCTTGCCGAGACATTATGCATAACTTCCAGGAGTTATCTGCTAAGTTAGCTGACTTCCATATTTCACGATTGAGAAGTATCTTGGTATCACGCTCTAGTAGCTAGCTGCTCAACACAACAGGGGAATCTTCTTTCACTATCTTGCAGTCAACTAATTCCTGAAGCAGCCTTTCTGCTTCTTCAATCCTGCCTGAATTGGCGACTCTTCTGACTATAGATAGATAAAATGAGTTACTGGTGTTTTTAGTTTCTGATACCATTACTCGCAGTATATCAGCAGCAGCTTCCGCTTTGCTATCTCTGCACAATGCCTGGATCACCATGACAAAAGTAGTTACTTTAACCTGAAAACCAAGAGCAAGCGTCCGATTCAAGAGCTGTAGGGCCTCTTCAGCCATGTTTTTCCTACAGAAGCACATAACAAGTGAACCATAAGTAATGTCATCGGGACTGATCCCATCACTAGCCATCTCATCAAACAGATCCATAGCTTTGTTCACCTCACCCTTGTTTGCTAAAGCATCTATCAGGGTGTTGTATGTAATACGAACCAACTGCCATCCATTTTCTCTGATGCAATGGGCTATCAAAAGAGCTTCTTCCACCATACCCTCTTTACATATGGCATTTAGGAGTGTGTTGTATGTCACTATATCAGGAAAACATTTATCGCTAACCATCATCTCCAACACACCAATAGCCTGATCGAGATGTCCATACTTACAGAAGTAGTTGATAAAGATATTGTAGGCAGTAACATCAGGCTCACAATTTGCATGGTTCATATGTGCAAGTAAATCACAAACTTCAGCCCACCTTTTTGTATTGCAGAGAGAATGGAGTAAGATGCAATAAGTTGTACTATTTGGTTCAAGGCCTTCAGCAATAAGACGAGTTAAGATGGTCTTCGCGTCCTTCAGCCTGCCTGCTTTACATGATGCACTGATAAGAGCATTGTAGGTGACAACATCTGGTTGACATCCCTCCAGAGCAAGTTCATTCAAGACTTCCATGGCACGCTTAGGTCCACAGTTTTTGCATACAAGATCAACAAGCAAGGTGCTCGTCATAACATATGGTGGCCAACCTATTCTCAATTGCTCTTTCCAAAAGGTGATCGCCCTGCCATACATACGCTGGTTGCACATGCACCTAATCAAAGTGTTAAAAGTGATGCCGTTTGGAGAGATACCGCCATACCTCATGTCCTCCAATACGTTCATCGCCAAATCCAGCTGCCCTGTGCAGCAAAGTTGCGCAATCAGCATGTTGCAGGTGATGGTATCTGGAATCCCACCTGAGAGCACCATAACCTCAAGGACGTCCCTGGCTTTATTTGCCTTGCCAGTTTTAACAAGGCCACGGATTAATCTAATACAGCTCTTAGCATCCGGAATTTGGCCATGTAGCACCATCTCATCAATCACGCAGCAAGCCTGAATGAGCTTCCCATTGTTGCAGTACCGGCGAAGGTTGCCAGCATAAAACACCCCTTTATCTTTCGGCAAATCAACCCCCTCGTTTGAGTTCTGACCCAAGTGTTTCCACGGCTTAGCTTGCAGGGACAAAATGGCCCTCTCGACATCCCCGGCTGCTCTGCCATTTCCAGGGGCTGCACGATCCACTGAACCATCCCGCATTCTTCGTTCTGGCCGCATTACTACCACATTACCCGCATTCTTCCGCTTGGCGAAATCGTCCCGTGACCGAGGCCGCTGGTAAGGCCTCATCACCACTAAATCGTCAACATTTCTCTGTTCAGTTCTAGGGGGACAATCTAAATGCACCGCATGTGCTCTGAAACGTGAAGGGCGCATCATCGAGAAGGTGACAACGATAATTGGGGCGGATCCACCTGGCCACAAACCACACCGGTGGCAACCTGCGCCCCCCGAATGCACCATTCTACTGAACCGCCATGGCAATACGATTTTGCCCCTGCGCGCGCCACCGTCCCTGCACATATTGGGAAGGGGAAATTTTGAATCAGCGAAAAGGGAAGAGGTATTCGTGACAGCGAACTAGCGAAATGACCGGGCAGACGGGGTTTAGGGTTCTTGCTCAGAGGTCTCCGCCACTAGAGACCATTTCAAAAGAACAAGCAGCATACAGCAAAGGTCCGCAGTACAGAGTCGGGATTGTATCGTACCGGTGGTAAGGGTCACACTGCAGCTGGAGCTGGAGTACGAAGCCTGAACTGGTGCCGGGAATGGAGAACGGACGGCGCGAGGAACTCCGCCTCGAGGAGTCGAGGTCCCGAGCGGAAGAGCTGAGCGACGGCGGAGGCTCGGCCGGATTCGTCTCTCGCCTTCGTGTGGCGAGCAAAGCGGTGAGGTATGGGGAGCTGCGAGACTGTGCAAGCGGCAGCAGGAGAGAAGTGGTGCACGCCGCCGATGGTGGGATGGGAGGAAGGAAGGAGGCGTCCCCCTATTTGACGGGCCAGGGCCGACAGCTCCGTTATGGGCTGCCCACAGCGCGGCCCAGAAACCTGCATCTTATTTTCTCTCAAAACAATCATTAAAAAGCATTCAGAAAATATTACTGTTCAGACAATTTTCGAAATTAAAATTACGAGAAATTGAAAAAAATGCAAATTTTCCATCCACCTTGTGAAAAACAATTGTTACATATTTGAAGCAATATGCATCATGCCTTTAAAATACGCTCATCATGTATTTTAAAATATTTACTGTGTTTAACAAAAAGTTTATCACGTATTTTAAAAATACCCACTATGTCTTTTAAAAAAATAAAAAATATTATAAATTAAAAAGGGGAATAAACAAAAATAAAATAAAAACTTGAAGAAAACAAAAGAAAATCGAAAGGGAAAAACTTGAAGAAAACCTAAACCGAAAAAGAAATAATGAAGCAAAAAATAGCTACAAAATGGTCGGCCCATGTGCGTACAGCCAAAATGACCTTGTCAGAACACTTGATCACAAAATGAACTCTTCATGAAATTATTTCACGATCTAACCCTTTTTGGTAACGCTAGAGCCCGTGGCGTTGTTGGTTAATACTGAAACGCCAAACTAGCCAGTGTTGCTGCCCTGACCCACGATCAGGACGCGCTGGCGCTACTCACTGATGTGGCAGGATAAAAACACCAAACCAGCCAATGTTGGTAGAAACGCCAGGGCCTATGGCGTTCCTGCACAGATATTTTAAGTGGTTATGGGGCACTCACCCTCACTCACCACTCACTCTCTTCTCTCCCATTGGCCATCCCGGGCTCTTGCCCTTTTTTCCCTTTGTCTCCCCCATTTAAACCCTCTCAAGTCCTTGCAAATTGATTGTGTTAGTTCGTGGATCCGGTGTCATTTCCATTCTTTGAGGAAATCTCCTTCATCTCACAAAACTGTATTGGTTGGATTTGCGTATCTAGATGGTTTTGTTCATGTGGATCCTAATCCTAGTTCTGAACATTGTTCCATAATATGATGCTTGTAGTGTATACTAATGAGTATGGTTGGTCCAATAGTGTTGATTTGTGATGTGGACGAACCAAGCTTAGGGTTTGGGTTATGCCTAATGTTAGGATTTAGGGTTAGGGTTTGGGTAATGCTTAATTTGGATGAACAAAAATTTTCTAAGTGGTTTTGTATGCAATGTGTTATATTTTGCATTGCTCCTTTGTTGTACTTATGTTGCCATTTTTTAGATGGAGATGATTGTTAATGTTCATTATATTGATAAAGCGGCTTTTCTGAATGTTGATATTGTTGACAAGAATAAGGAATTATTGAAATTTTTGGAGAGTCCTAGTTATGACAAGGTTGTGAAAGAAACACGGGTTAGATTAAAGTGGATGGATCCAAGTGACCAAGTTTAATTAGTAGGAAGATATGATGTTCGGACGGGAAACAAGTGTCGAATGAAGACATCGCCTATCAAATCCAATTTGCAATGGGGTCCATATAAGGAGGTTGGTGAATCCTTGGAAGTCAAATCGCTCGAAGTGTTTGCCACTAAGATGGTCAAGGCTCCTCTCTTTCATGTTGACTTGAACCAGACCTTAGTAGATGATATGAGCCTGATTAGTAGTGTGCCACCAATTTGTTGAGCAAAGAATTGAAATGCAAGCCGCCAATGCAATGAGCCAACCTCATGTTAGCCAATCAAATGAATTTGATGTGAAAGATATTCAACATGGCAACGAATAAGTTGATTGTGTCAATGAGTATCCCCAATATGATTGAGGGTGGTGCACCAATCACTAATGATGGCCATGACTCTGATCAAGAGGATGAGAGGCACCACAACATTATTGGTGACATAGAGGCTTAAGTCAGGCACAAGGATATGGACCCTGACATTATTATCAACGCGCTTGTGTGGATGACTCGGATGATGAAGTCCTGGTGAATGAGTTGGACGAAGATGGTTTCATGGAGAAAGAAGCAGAGTGGTACACCAAAATCACTTGTAGGGATCACGAAGTGCCCTTGTTTTGTGATGTTAGCCTTGCGCATAAGGCTATAGTTGAGGGTGGCATGAGTAAGACAATTGAGGCTATACCGTTCCCAAGTGGTAGAGCGAGCTGCTATACAGACGGTTTTTAACCCCTTTCCGTGGCGGCATTTTAAATCGTCGCCTTGCAAGTGTGGGCGATAGGGGGTCCTCCGGTCACACACGCTGGGCAAAATGAGCTCGTGTGCGATCGGGATAGCCATGGCATACAATTATACATGCCCAATCATTTCCGTTCGTAAGTACACCCCACACAGTGAATCCCAGAGAAATGGTTCCCTTCGTATGTACATCCCATACAGTCAATCCAAGGAATATTTTTTTGTTCAGATGTATATCCCACACAGTCAATCCAAGAAAACCGCTTTCGTTTGTATGTATATCCCACATGATGAATCCCAGACAAACGTTTCCATTCGCACGTACATCACACATAATTTTTCCCATTAAGTCGTCTGTGATAGCGTTGCCCTTGAAGACGATATTAACAATTTTATCGTTTGCGTTATTGAATGCGTCACACATGGTGTCTAGAAGAAATTGTGTGCATAGGCTGTCCATCACACACACTTTTTATCTAGAAAACGTTTGTGCAAGGTGGCCTAAGCAATTTTCAAGAGGAAGTCACGTGTGATTGTTCATTGATCCAACGCGTTTTCTTCCTAGAAACTGTGTGGGTTGTCTGAGGTCATCGCCCACGGTGATGTCTCAATAACCATTTGCAATAGAAAAACCCAATAAGCGGGCTAATTGGCCTATTATTAATAATCTATTTATTAATCAAATTGGGATTTCATATTAAGCATAGAATATATTTCATTTTCGTATCATGGAACCAGGATTTCATAATTAAAATACATCGGAGTAGAACATTGCATAGCTTCAGCACTCAGTTACACCATATGGGCATATAACTAGCTACCCCATTACACAACTGCATCAGTACCAAGTTTCACATGCAACGTTAACCTTTGAAAATTAGCATCATAGATGGTAGATAGACAGATGAATCTCATCTGGAAAATTGCTGAAGCAGAAGGCAAATATTGAGCCTTCGCTACTACAGAATGGTCCAAACGCGACGATCCAATCAGATACCCTTCAACGAAACTGTGTGCGATGCATTAATCGCAAAAGATGGTGTAAGAAAACCGTCAAAAATGAGACGAACTGTTTGTTGGGGAACGTAGTAATTTAAAAAAAATCCTACACACACGCAAGATCATGGTGATGCACAACAACGAGAGGGGAGAGTGTTGTCCACGTACCCTCGTAGACCGAAAGCGGAAGCGTTAGCACAGCGCGGTTCATGTAGTCGTACGTCTTCATGATCCGACCGATCAAGTACCGAACGCACGGCACCTCCGAGTTCAGCACACGTTCAGCCCAATGACGTCCCTCGAACTCCGATCCAGCCGAGTGTTGAGGGAGAGTTTCATCAGCATGACGGCGTGGTGACGATGTTGATGTTCTACCGACGCACGGCTTCGCCTAAGCACCGCTACAGTATTATCGAGGTGGACTATGGTGGAGGGGGGCACCGCACACGGCTAAAAGATCAACTTGATAAATTGTTGTGTCTATGGGGTGCCCCCTTGCCCCCGTATATAAAGGAGCAAGGGGGGGGCGGCCAGGGAGAGGGCGCGCCAGGAGGAGTCCTACTCCCATCGGGAGTAGGACACCCCCCCTTTTTTCCTAGTTGGAATAGGATTCGGGATGGGAAAGAGGAGGGAGAGAAGGAAGGGGGGCGCCGCCCCCCTCTCCTTGTCCTATTCGGACTAAGGGGGGAGGGGCGCGCGGCCCAGCCCTGGCCGCCTCTCCTCTTCTCCGTAAAGGCCCACTAAGGCCCATTTACCTCCCGGGGGGTTTCGGTAACCTCCCGGTACTCCGGTAAAATCCCGATTTCACCTGGAACACTTCTGATATCCAAACATAGGCTTCCAATATATAAATCTTCATGTCTCGACCATTTCGAGACTCCTCGTCATGTCCGTGATCACATCCGGGACTCCGAACAACCTTCGGTACATCAAAACATATAAACTCATAATATAACTGTCATCGTAATGTTAAGCATGCAGACCCTACGGGTTCGAGAACTATGTAGACATGACCGAGACACGTCTCCGGTCAATAGCCAATAGCGGAACCTGGATGCTCATATTGGCTCCTACATATTCTATGAAGATCTTTATCAATCAAACCACATAACAACATACGTTGTTCCCTTTGTCATCGGTATGTTACTTGTTCGAGATTCGATCGTCAGTATCTCAATACCTATTTCAATCTCGTTACCGTCAAGTCTCTTTACTTGTTCTGTAATACATCATCCCGCAACTAACTCATTAGTTGCAATGCTTGCAAGGCTTAAGTGATGTGCATTACCGAGAGGGCCCAGAGATACCTCTCCGACAATCGGAGTGACAAA